GGCGGAGAGGAAGAAGTGCCCCAAATACAAGGACATGCTTCTAACCATTACAGATGGCAGATATGATCTAATGGGAAAAAATATATATCCAATCCCTCCGCGCCCCCCCTTTTTTTTTCTTCCCCAGAAAAATGAAAACATTTCAATCTCTAAAATGCTGACAAACACTTTCCAAAGTTTGGCAAGCTTTAAATGTGGGGTAGGGGAGAGGAAGTAACTTCTCCTTACTTGAGTTGGCATTTATCAGTTTCCCATTATTTTGTATTGCCAAACCCTGGTCGTACTTAATCAGATTATGATAAATTAGGAAATCTCCCAGTTTCTATTTTAAAATTCTCCATTTTTACATAAAATAGTATCATGAATGCCTATAAAAAATACAATTTGTAACATTTCAAATATGACAGTGTGTGCATAAATTTTCTTCCTCTCTTAAAAGCAAATACCGTTACTAATGACCAGATATAGAGTCATGGAAAGAAAAAGCATCAAAGACTATTAAACACCATGACACAAGCTCTGGCTCAGGAAGTTCCTAAACAGCAAATCATTGCTAAGGGCAACATCACTGAGAGTACCACTATACACTTGCTCTGTTTCCACGCTCTTTCTTAGGCCATTCCCATTCTGGCTATGTTCACAGAGAGGTTACTGCACTACGTAGATGCTTGGTCTTTCACTACAGAGATATCTTTATATTCAGATCTGGACTTTATGTAGCACTCCCTACCTCTAAAAGCTCATACAGACCTATTTGAACCACCAAATACATTCAGAGATACAATTCAGATTTTCACTGTTCTTTCTATAGAAAATTTAAATAATTCATATCTGAAGTTAACAGCTATTACTAGGATACTAAAGTAACAGCAAAAAACAATGCAAAACTTCAAATGATATGCAACTACTGAACATACTTTGACTCATGTGATAGCAGTAAAACCATTCCATTCTCTTAAATCCATTCAATCATGAAAAAGGAAATCAACAACTTTTGTAAACACACCCACCGTGTCTTTTAAATATCCGGCTGACAATCTCACATACATGCTGCTGTATCTTGGCTGCCCAAATAGAAAAACTACCCTGAAACCATCACAAATAAAAAGTACATATATAATTCATGTGGCATGAATACTCGATGCAATATAGGCAATCATTCCACATAATATAGGCAATAATCATTCTGCTATATCATCCTAGTATCATAAATTGTAATGCTTACATAACAAAAAACAATAAGAGCTATACAAAGCATTATTGTACTGTGTTACCTTGTATTTCTTTAGATGTAGAAAGATTACTTTGATTGTCATGATTAGAAAGGGAAGAAAACAGTCAGAGGCAACACATTCCATTGGCAATCAGATGCAAGTACCGTTAGTTTGACAGAAATTCAGAGTAAAGAAACTAATCACACCTGGACAGAAGCTTAAAGCTTTAGCTGCTACAATCAAACACTGCTTGTTTCTTCATTGAAGAATGAATGTAAGGTTCAAATGGGAAGTACTTATTGAAGCCCACATAGTACAGAACTGTAGCTTTAAATAGGAACTGTGAAGGTTAATCTTAAGAGATAATGCAATTCTCTCAAACATGCTTTGAGTTTACCCGTATAAAGACTTTTTTTTTTTTCTAATTCAACAAAGGAAAAGAAACCCCACATGTTCCCTAAACACGTACAAACCTTCAGCATATCACTGTCGTAAGTATAGTCTATAGCTGGAGATATACGCTGTGAAAATATCTGATTCATCATAGTCCGGTAGGCCTTTCCATCCACGTTTGCTAAGGTATGGTGGAGTACTTCATGGAGTTCAGACTCTTCCATTTGTGGTGGTGGAAGATGTTCACTTTTTAACAGCTCCACAGCTGTTGGTCGTGCTGCAGGATCATGGTTCAGAAGCCATGTAATCACTGATCTCTACAAATTAAATCAAAATTGTATAGTTCAGAAAAAATTTCTGTATTAGCAGTATTTACAAATTCTTAGTCACATCTCATTAATAAAAAACATTATGTGACTACAGGGGACAACAAAGAAAGCAGGATCTGAATCCTTGGGGTGGATATTCTTTGCTTATTAAATTCCAAGTATCTTTTCTTGTGTTATTACCTGAATAAAATTTACTGAAACACAAAAATTAGTAGGAAAGTGTCTCTTGGGATGACAAAATATGTAGTATCCTTTGTTGTTCTATGTTATTCGAGTTCTGGCATCTCTATTAAAAAAAGGTAAGAGAAAACAGAATCATATGCATAACTACCTCTCAAATCTTTGTTGTTATGAAAGAAGGGGGAATCTTCCTGGCATATTTCAGTACACTGCAGAAGATGGAAACATGTTTATGGTACTAGTAACAGGCAGACTGCCATTCCACAGGCATAACAGACAAAACACTAATGCTAATGGTCAACAGGAGTCCACTAGCACAAGGCAAAAAAATTATCTAGGTGGTCCAGAAAAGATTACACTGCTCCTTATCACTTCATTTCTCTGTCAGAGGCATCCAGAACAGCCCTTGGCAGCCCTTTTCAAACTCAGAGCAGTCAATTTACCTTCCACACCTCTTTCTGTTCTGTGACCCAGATCTCTTTCAAAAGTTTAAGTTAAGGGTTAAACAAAATAGCTGCCATTTGCCTGAGCGCTGCCTCCCCCCACTCCAAAAAAAAAAGAAAATTGTCCCTCAGATTTTAACAAGTATGCCTATGAACTCTGGATTTCTTTATGACTGTGCTCAGGGAATTTTGTAGGTAAGTATATTTCCTTGTCAATTTAGTATATTCTTTTGAGATTTTTTTTCCCTTACTTCGTTCTAATGTCATGTAATAGCAACTTGGCAGAGATTACTAATTTAAAATTAAGTGGGAAAAATAATAATTAGCGTCTCTTGATAGGGAATACCTAATAGTTAAAACATCTTCAAAATTACCTGCTTTGCATGCTTCACTTCATCAAAGTCTTTCGGAAATACAATAGTGGGCTATAAAAAAAAACAACACAACAAAACGAAAACCACATTTGAATTACAACACGCAGTGCAGCTTGCTCAGGCTAGTCTTATTTTTAAGTTGTACATATTTAAACAGAGAAACTAAGCATTTTTATTGCCCATGAGGAAAAAAAAAAAAGAAAAACCACATGGCAAACTTAGTTTGAAGAGCTAACAGGAAAAAGAACGTCACTGAAATGCTTTTATGATGTTTTGTAAAATGAAGATATAATCCATAATCACAGGCATTTACCAACTGCAAATATCAATTGGTTCTTGAAAGAGACCCACCGGGTCTAAGCCTAGGTGTACTAAAGCCATGATGTCTTTACCTGAAGTTTACACCTCTAGTGTTTTGCACTATAAAAATTAGTTTAGCAGATAGGACACTGACTACTATTAGGAAATTCATAGTGCATTAAGGGAACGCTAGCACCAGCTACAATTTTATTCTTCACTTTTCATTATATATTTTCTGAATTTTTTTTTTAAGCACTCCCCGTGGAAATGTTTTTGCTATGTTTTACATCATTTTACTTCTCAAAGTATGTGATGCACAGAATTACGATCTTTTATGTCCATGTACTTACCAGTCTTAGCTGCCCAAGAACAAAAATCCTTTCTGATGCAGTACTCATTGGATGGTAAGACATTTCAAAGAATATTATACCCAGACTAAACAGGTCCACTTTCTAAGGAAGAAAAAAATGGAAACTTAAATGTAATACCTGTGAACTCTTTGCAGAAAATGACAGCAGAGAAAAAATAATGTTTTGGTTAAAATTTCACAGTATATTACAGCTGGAAAGGGATGGGTTTTTTTGTGGTTTGGGTTTTTTTAATTTATATTTTGTTAGATGACACAATCCATTAAGATTTGGTAGACTTCAATGCCTTCTATCATCCCTGCACCTCCATGACGTAAAGGACTCCCTTTCACTTTAAAAACATTCTTGCTTTGAAATTCAGCTTGTCTCTGCAACAGGATCCTCTTTGATGAAAATGTGCACCGTACCCCAAAAAGTGCACCCCAAAATCAGTCTAGGAATCCAGAGAGCAATATATACTTCTCATGATGACTTTTTACCTTAACTAGAGACTGTAAGATTTCTATCCTTTTCATTTATAAAAGGTCCTCCATGATTACCTGCTTTCAACTTGAAGTTGCTTGCATCTAGTCATGGTCACAGCACAGGCAGAAAAACTGACTTGCCCACATCCTTCTAACCTTGGCCTTCTCTCAGAGAAATATTTCTTATTCTCTTGCTTATCGCAGCAGTTCCACCACACCCCGTTCCACCTTGAATTCACCTTTTGTTGAGCAGGAACAACCTAAACTGTACCTGGTACCTTAGATTCCATGATACCTTTTTATTAAGTCTACTTAATCATACCTGATTGTATGTAGATTTAGTGCTTCCTTGGACCTCTGGGCTGACGTATAGTGCAGTGCCAACCATCCCTGTCAAATTACCTACATGCGAAAAATGAGAGTACTAGTTTCAAGAAAGCTGGAGAGAAATACAGCATCAAAGTCAAGGGAAAAAAAAAAAAATCTCACTCATCTTCCATCCTCATTTCTTCTAGGTTGGAATGCAGTCCTTAGAGAGACAGACCCAGTTGAGAACAGTTTGCAAAACAGACAGATCTTACATTTACATGCCAAGTATCTGTGTCTCTCTCTAGTATCTAAATCTATTTGTTGCTTTACAGAATTGTAGCACACAAACGATACAACTAAATTCCACTTCTGTTACACTCATCTTAAGAAACACCATGTACTACAGTTTTCTCAAAGCACAAAACTCAAGCTGTTAAAGAAGGTACCAAAAAACCCCAACCAAACAAAAATCCCCAAAGTCTTGAAATTGTCCTGTACAAGCAAGAGAACAAAGAGCAGACGGAACATATATACAGGATCTCTATATTCCTCACCATGAGAAAAGCACTGATCTATGGCAGAAGGCTAGCAGTGGAAGCAAATTCATTTTTAGATATGTCAAAACTGTCAGATTATACATATCTACCCAAACGTTGGTGGTTGTTTTTTTCCCCCCCCAATAAAAAAGGTTTTATTTTTAAAGCATGAATGGGAATTCTAACAGAGTATACAAGACTGCAGAATCTAAGTGTTTGCTTAAAATCATTTAGAACAAGCTATTATGTAAACTAACCTGATGGGTCAGACATAGCAGAGCTATCCGAGTGATTTTCTTCTTGTTTAGAGACCGCCTGAAATCAGGAAAACAGACATATTGTAAGTGGCACTTGAAATGCTTCTGTTGGCTTTTCTTGCTGCTTTGGTTCGCAGTACATGGTTTAATTCTAGAACCTTAGAAATAAAAAAGTTTATATTGTGAATGCCATAAACTCCAATAATCACTATGTTTCAATGTTTTATTTTCATCTTTCACATTATTAAAACACCAAAGTCAAGTTTCTTTGTTCACTTTCAGCTGTACTTACTGCATTTGCTGGATGATCTGTAGCTAAACCAAAATCACCAATTTTGACATGATCACTTGAATCTAAAAAAATGTTCACAGGTTTCAAGTCTCTGTGGATCATTCCCTGTTACAGCAGGAGAACAAAAAAAAAAAAAAAAAAAAGACTCACAGAATATTAAACAAAAAACGCAATTAAAAATAAAACTCTCTTTATAATAGACTGCAAAACTGTATTATATAACTTTTATTACACTAGGAAATCTACTGCATTAAGTCACTGATGATTAATCAGCTACAAACAATTTTAAAGATGGTCAAATTCTTGTGACAAAGGGAAAAATCTGAACCAGTTCATTATAAAACTCAATTTTATGATAAAATATTCTAAACCCCTAGAACAGATGAATAAAGGAAAGGGCAAGGAATGACCCTTGCTAATAAACGCCCAAAAATGAATAGAATATGAAGAAACCCATACAGAAAGAGACATAACATACTACGGAAAGGTCACAACTGTCATATTTACTAACCTTTTCATGGATGTAAGCTAATCCATCTAAAATTTCTCGGAAAAGCCTCCAAAGCCGACTGGTGTCTTCATATAATCCTTGGTCAATAGTATCCCTTAACGTGCTTTTTTCACAATATTCCATCTTCAGTTGTGCATATGTAGGTGACAGAAGGAAGAAAGAGCAGTTTTGTCAAGAAAAAGAGACCATCATAAACTCGTGCCTATGTGCATATTAATTCCTGGTTCTGTAACACATCGTTCAGGAGCCAACAGTATCATCAAAACATTCAGATGTTTGGAATTTTCCTCAGAGCTGCCTTTTACCTAGAAAACACATTCACTTATAGGTCCTATCCCATTTTCTGGGACAATGGTAGGAGCTTGTAGAGTAGTATATTCTCATAACATCAATGTTAAAAATAAGGTGAAACCAGCCAAGCCATAATATACATTTAAGCCAAACTTTAAAGACTCTCTGGTTTTATTTTACTTGACGTCTTAACTGCTTATATTATGAATATACATAACACATGCAAACAACCTTATTAAAATCTAATTCCATCTAATTATATCTTCCTTCCAGACAAGCTCCAGCATTAAGTGTGTTATAAAAAACTGCACATCACCACAGAACAAGTAGCATGACAGTCGACTTCTTTGTTAGGAATTAGACTGTTTCTGGGAGGAGTTGTTGTTTGTAGTAAAGCCTGAAGCTGCAAACCTGCAGGAATTTTATCTTGTGCCTCCTGTCAGGGCCATGCAATGGCTTTGCAAATCACTGTTTTCTGTCAAAATAAAATGCCTACACAATATAGTGCCTTTGAAGAGAGTAGGAAGTTTTCACATCTGTGAAATACAACTTCACCTCTGGAAGTTAACACAGTACACTTCCAACTCCTCGTTGGGAATTAACATGGTGACCACACATAAGAACACCAGCTACCGTGTTAGGGGGTTGGGATGGATATTCTAAATAAATAACAAGCACAAGGCAAAACAATGCTTTGGAAGCCACAGACTCAGAAAGGTTGGTTGGTTGGGTTATTCTAAGGTTAGGTCAGGAGCTGCCAACTTTCACTTGTACACACGCAACAACAGCAATCCCATTACACACTATGGCACTACAAAATTGCTTTCTCCAGGCACAGCTATAGAACCTTGGAAGGCACAACACGCCCTGTACACTCCACAGTGCCTTCCACCAGCCAAGCCTTTCAGAAAACCAGTCCATTGCAAAAGCAACACTGAACTTAGTCTCCTTTGCATTTTTTAAAGGTCATTATTTTTTCTCATGAAAACCAGCAATTAATCTCTGCAGGTTGGAATAAACAGTATCCTTTTATCTGAGAACACACAAGCACGTTTGTAACCTGAATGTACAGGTAATGCACTGTGTGAATGACTGATGTCCTGTCCTCTCCTCCATGGCCATTCTTTTCATTGCCTTCTTCATCCTTTATCACAATAAAAGTAACAGAACAGTTAGCTACAGGCAGCCATCCAGAAGTTTTTTTATGCATACTACTATTTTTAATGGCTGGAACACATTGATGAGAACTTATCCTCTATGGCTAGGTTTGAGTAAAAGCAAAATAATACACTGACATTTTTGTAATGCCACTGCTTCTAAATAAACTAGAAAAACAGGTATGACCCACTGTCATTTTCAAACCAAGAATGAGTAATATTTTGCTATCATTAGACACTGGAGGAAAAACATTCCAGAACATCTGGATGAAACCTAAATCTTGGTGTGTGACGTTTTTTAAAAAAAGTAATAAATTTGAAACTAAAATATGCAAAGCTTAGTTAATAGAATTAATAATGCAACCCCCAACCCCAACCAACAATTTGATATAGTGTATAAATAGACACAGTGACAAAAAAATGCACTGTCGTATGATTACATATTGAAAGCTTTTTCATGCCAATGTACATTATAACAGAAAGAGGAAGGAAACGAAGCTTCAGTAAGAGCATTTTACAGATCATCAGGATTAGCGATGACACATTCTAGATGCTGTAGAAAACTGTGCATTATCTTTCTAATGATACAGTGCACTGACTGTTCACAGCAAGTGCTGTGATGCAAAAAATCTTAAAATCGACTAAAACCTTATTCTGACTCCTCATCTCTTTTTGACTGCTAGCAACATGTACTGTCACCACTTTCAAAAAGTGGCTAGTATGAGAAAATATATTGGTTTATATCACCTAAAAGCAGAACAGAATTTCAACTTTCAGATGATATAAGACAATCCATGTGGTTAACTGATATACCATGTACATACTGAACTATTAAACTTGCAATAACCAGACTCATGACTATACAGTGCAACCCACACGTAGTTCAGTGAACACTATGGGAAACAGGAGCCAGATTAGCAGCATCAGACAGATTTCTACAGAATGCAGCTCATGACAGCACATTCACTCTGATGGAACATATGCTTATATGTTTCTGTACTTGGACCAGAAGTGAAAAAAAATTTCCCAACCGACATCTTTGCTTGTCAAAGACTATTTTATGATCTTTTCATTTTCACTAGCTTTATTCTTCATACTTACCGGAAGATCACCTTTACTGTTTTCATCCTCATTATCAAAAATTATTTCACTTTCAGAATCTGTGGTTGGCCTGTTTAAAAAAAGAGAAAGAAAAAAAACCTCATAAGTTTTGGTTTTCCTTAAATATATGTTACCAAGAAATATTTACTAAGAAATATGGAAACTATTTGGGGAAAAAAAGAAAACCTAAGCTTCTGTTGAAGACCCTCCATATCCCTTAAACAAAAAAGCAGAACAAAACCAAACCCAAAAAAGTATCCTGCTTGCAAAGCAACACTTCCTTTGACAGCCCAGTCTCTTAAGAGGTAGGTATATATTTGCAGCAATACAATTTAATTTCTATATTCAATAAGCAAAACTGAGCTAAGTTTACTTAGTTGCTTAAACAAAAAAAAAACCCACCATGAGTGAAAGAACCACTCCATACAGAGGCAAGTATGGAATATGTTAATAAAAATCAAAACAAAAAAGAGAGGACAAATGAAGTATTTTTCAGGATTTCTAATATTTTTCAGTTATTGTTTATTAAAAACTTTACTCTCAAGGTTGGAAGACAATCCAACATGAAGTAAACAGTCGTGCATTCCAACACAAATGATAAGTAGCTTCTAAATAAAGAAGCCTAAACCAAAATTTTCCTCATACACTGACCTTTTTTTAGCTAAAAATTTTCTTTTCCCTGGCTATCTGGCTGCTGGCAAATACACTGTTTTTGAACCAGGGGACAGTACAAAAATGCAGTGAATTACCTCCAACAACAGAAGTGAGAATGACAAAAGACACAAACTTGGAAAAACGAACTCTGCTCATGTTCCCTACAGTGCAGATACTGAAGTCTACTTACAAAAATGAATGTGAAAACACGCCATCACCATCATCATCATCATCATCACTGGACTCCTGATCAGCTCCACTGAATTTGTTGCTGGAGGGTCTTTCACATGAAGTACTCCACTCAACTGAACTTGTCAAAACTGGAGGAGGAGCATTAGCTTCCACGTTATTTGTCTCCTCAGTGCTAAGGATGAAGAGACCGGCTTTGGGGGGCATTCTTTTCTCTTGGGTTGTTTCAGATGATGACACAGTGGGAACAGGACTTTCATGTTTTTCTATCCAAGCATTGTAATACCTCACAATATTCTCATGGTTCAAGCGGGAAAGCAACGTTACCTCCCCCTTAATCCTCCGAAACTGCTTGCTGGCAGGGTTTATGCGGATACGTTTCACAGCGTAATAGCAACCATCAAGCTTATTTCTCACCTGCAAAATTAAAATAAATCTAAAGTCAAATGCTTATAAGTGCCTTACTAACTAAAGCTAGGAGTAATGTCATAGAAGAGGAAATTTTCCTTCCACCTGGGAAATGACTACAAAATGCAAGCTTCCCCATACTGACAGGCCTCTCCCCAGACTCCCAGCAATCTCTCACAAAACTCATCAGCCTATTCAATCCCAAAGCCACAACACAGGCACAGCACACTAGAAGATAATAAATAAAACCATGCAAACACTGAACATACTGTTTTGCTTCAGAGAAAACAAACACATCCCCAAAAAAGATTCCATAGAGGGAAGTAATTTTTATACCATACCTTGATGACTGCTCCAAAAGCCCCTTTGCCAAGTAATTTTAGCTCTTCAAACTCATTGTAGTAGCGCGAAAATTGTCTCTGTGTTTCTGTGGAGAATGAAGCGCTGGATATCTGACTGCTGGGTACAACTGTCTCGATGCAATCTATACCTGCTGAATCTGTAACAAGGTTATCAAAGTTACCACTGCTGGCAATATGGGGAGAAAGTAAAAGGGACTGTCAAATAAGCATCAGGAAGAAGATAAAAACCTAAATAACTTCACTGCAAAACCTAAAATGCAGAAGTGCTCTGCTGTGTAGAGTTAAGCTCTGGTACAAGCATAAACCTTAATACAGTTTTTAAACACTAACATTAATTATTCTGGACAAAGGAAGTGATTCTAATAAGAACACAATGAGGGAAGAAGTCTCATTGGAACAGCATCTTCCAAGGAAAAAGTCAAGTCTGACATTTACATCATGCAGGAGTCAGATGAATTTAAAGGCTTAATTAAAGCATCAGCTGCTTCTGCTGATGAGACGACAGCCATCAGTCCACCCCAGCTAGTCATGGACATAAAAGCTAGTAAGGTCTTTAACTGCTAAGTTAGTTAATGTAAAACACTTGTGCAGTCTTGTGAAGCTCTAACACAGCTCAATTTTTCTGCTACTGCAGGCATGTAGTCCAGTTATTTAGCAGAATACAGAAAGAACCAAGTTTCTTACCATCTAGATTTTCTTCAGCTACAGGTATTTTCATTCGTGGAATGTTGATAAAACTATGTTGTAACAACTGCTGAGGATTCCATCTTTCCTTATCTTCCAAGCAAACACATCTGTTAGGAAGCCGAGAAGGGAACTGTTCAAAGATCTATTCCGTATCAGGCCTAAGTGTTCAAAGAGGTCTCCTTATACTTAAGAAATTATCACTTTTATCATTCAGATGGGAATCAGAAGCAAAGACAGACTAAATGACTTATCCACAGTGACACACAAAGTTGGTGGAAGAGCAGAGAAGAAACAAGTACCAGACCTGTTCTCCTGAATCCCAGGTTAACAGCCTGAGCCATGAATGAGCAATCACCTCTTCTCTAAAAACTATGACTAGCAACACAGGGGGATTTAGCTGTTCTTTTAAAAACATGTTTAAGTCTTTAAAAAAAAAAAAAAAAGATAAAAGTATACAGGAACACAACAAACATACTTTTCCAGAAAGTCTTGGAAGTCAGCAGGTAAATTGGTAGGAACAGCAACTGGATATTCCTTGGTTACTTGGCCCTGGCTGAGTGAAAGCAGAAGCAAGCCCAAACTCCATACATCTCCTTTTTTTCCAGGTTTGCTGGGAAGACCATCCTCACTGAAACGAACTTTGGTTTGCTCAAAAACATCTGCTTTGCAAATATCGGCTAAGCGCTTGGATATGCTGTAGTCTGTCACCTTGATGTTTCCTTCAGCATCTACCAGGATACTTGAAGGACAAAGAACTTTGTGCACTACTGAATTATTGTGCAAGTAGTCGAGAGCTGACAAGATCTGGGTCACATAATGGCGCAACTGCTCAACTGGAACTGGAGTCTCTTTGTGTAAATATGTAGAAAGGCTGCAACCACTTATGTGCTCCACTAAAATGTCCACCACAATTGAATCGTCCCGTTCTTTAAGGTTCATACATTTATAATGTAGTATGTTTGGGTGACTTAGCTTCGTCAGTGAGCTGAACTCTGTTTCTGCACCCTGAAGCTGTTAGAGAAACACAACATAACATGCATTGTGTCATACCTCACTAGCACACCACTACTAAAATATATAACTTACACAAAATACATGACATTCTCATCCTTCTCTGAAAAGGGAGCATTGTACACAAGGGGCAAGAACAACTTTGGTTTCTGCCAGCTAAGCTTGATGCTCTTTCTTTAGGATTTTACTATTTTATTATTTTGTTTATGCATACTTGCAAATACACTTTCTTGCATTTATATTATTGTAAATGATATACCCCTGAATACCACAATACACTCACCTCCTTCTGTGGTGCACATACTCTAAACAGTAGCATTTTCAACCTCATTACTACCCTCTCAAGTTTGTATTAAACTAGCAGCCTCAAGAAAAGCACTGAACGCCACCTAACCTTTATTAAGCCAAATGCAAAATATGGGCATTACCTGTTTTTTACACTTCTCAATCTTCTCTATTTCATGTGTTGTAAGAAATCTTCCCATCTTTTTTTGCCAGTGCAGAACCCACTCATATATTAAAACAAAGTCTCCACTGCGAATTTCCAAGGCATTGTAGACCGATTTACCAAGTTGTTCATCCTTGCCTATACATAAAGAGAGAGAAGAGGAACAGGGCTTCTTCTGTTTCTAAGGTTTTGACAACAGCTCCTGCAAATGCTAAATAAACACCAGTAAGCCTACTTTCTACAACTTCAGTAACACAAACCTACTTGCAACTAAACAAGAGCCATACCTACATAGTAGGTATGGAAAATATCAGCTCTGATGAGACTGAATGCTATGTAGCATTAGACAAATAAAAGCACTAGCACATTGGCAAAAAATTGCTGCACATTTTAAAGAATTTCAGGTTTTAATAAACAAACACTGTTCCTGCTGAGCAAATGCTGAACTCCATGCACTGTAATGATGAATGGATCAGTATGATGAACATAATTGTTCATCCTCAAACTGCAAAATAATAAAATTCTCTTTGCTTCAGAGACTTTCAGGCTGTTCATCCTGCCACTGAGGAAGTGCTATATTGGAAACAAACAATTAAAACATTTGATGGTCTATTCATACAGGCCCTTCAGCTCTGAAAGTCTCCTGTCTTTGCCTGTATTTATGTTTTTGCTAAAACTGCTGCTTTTATGCCATTGCAATCAGCAGCAATGGCAGGAGAGTAAGGATGCATTTCTAACCCTGTGCTTATCACTGGTTTCACATGTTACTGAAAGCGAAATGACTTCTTGCTTGGTAGCCACGTGTATCTGGCAAGCTAGCTATTTAAATTTAAAAGCAAACAGTTTTCAGTATTATTTTAGTTATGTAAGGAATATAAAGTGTTGAGAAGGTGGGGCTTTTTTTTTTTTTTGGTATGGCTATTCAGTTACATAACTGTATTTGGAGAAGCAATTGTACTTAAAATAGTTCTAAGAAAATAGGAAATATTTACCACAAAGTAACTTTTCCTATTACCCTCTCCCACTCTTGACTGTAACATTTCACACTCCACACCAATATTCTCTCCACCCTTGCTACTTGTACCTGTTAACATTGTTTAAGTTCTCCCTCTCAAAGAAAACAAAAAAAACCCACCACAGCCCAAAACCCAGTATTTCAAGCTGCAAGTGTAATTTTGCTTACCTAGACATTTTCCTTTATGGACAGTAAATTGTCCAGCACCACTTGTGCTGAAGTTCAAAACTTCATAATTCCCAGGGGACTCTTCTTTATTACTAACAGAAAGCTGGCGTTCTCGTCTGCAATATGAACAGAGTATTTTTCTCCAACTCAAAAAGATAGTATTGTTGCAGTCCCTAAAGATATCAATTCTCCAAGAGAATTAGCTTTCAGACACTTTTGCATTCAATGACAATACCGATTAATTAATTAAAGACACTGAGTTAGGGCAAAGATGTATGTCTGATTAGAAATTCATCATTTTAGCAGCAACCTCACACGGCACTGGGTCTCTATATTCAAAGCCAGGATTTGAATCCAAACCTTAAAATTGCATCTTAGGACGACATTCCCAGTTGGGGGGGTGGGGGGTGGGGTGTGGAAGGAGGGAATATAAAAAAAGAGTAAACATACTACAGCTCTGAAAAACATGTAAGTTTGACTCGATTTGCACTCTCTTTCAAGACCTTACAAAAAGCAAATGTATGTAATTTACAAAGTCCATTCCAGCTTTAGCTTAATTATTTTTACTAACTTAAAATGGGTTTCCTATTTGCCTCCTTTACTACTCTAAACTCATCCTTCAAGCAAAGGGAAGTTGTGAAAAATTTTCAAAGCAAGTATCATTAGGGTGTTTCTTCTCACATGCATGTACGGAGCTGCACATGAGATCAGGAAGAACTCAAGAACATTAACATCCGTTACTTCTTGATACAATCTATTTCAAAATTAATAGCAATATCACCACTGCAAGAGTTTCCTGCAAATAAATGCAAAGACATATAAAGAGCACAGGAGCATATGACAGGTAATGCAGAAGCTCTTTCAAACCCCGCCAAGTTAAAATGTGCTACATAGAAAGGAGATAAGGAGATGCCACAGGGAAATTCTCACAAGTGCTGTAGAGAGAAAAGTATACAAAGAAAGTATCTGGCTTTCTGAATTCAAATCTATTTTATAAATTATTTTATATTGTAGTAATCTTCTAAAAGTTTGTGTCCCAATAGCCAAAATTTCAGGCTTCATAAACAGGTAAAAATACAGCAACACTCTTCTTGTGAAGAGAGACCTCAGAAAACGAAATATGCCTAGATTTTGCTTAACTCTACAACGTGGCATCATGAGAAGTTTCAACGCTTCAAAATCCTTAGATTATTTTCACCATTGTTAAAATAAGTAACTCAGCCTTTTTTTTTTTGTAAAGTAAGAACATATAATGTAAGCATTTGTGTGGAAAATTAATACAAATCCGTTGTATGTGTTCTGCATTAAAGCATAGTAACAAACACTCAGGACACTTGTCTTGTTCCACAAGCACAGACAAGTGTCACATTTTGTTATACTAAGATTAGCAAGAAGATAGGAAGAGAAATTTCTGGACTGTCAAATGCTATACAGAAACAACTGCCAAATATGACTTGTGATAGGCAAAGTGAAGAGATGGCAGCAAGAGTCAAAGTAGGAGAGATCAAAGAAGAACTTCTGCTTCAGGTGTCTAGTGTTGCTGATAAATAATATGAAAACAATTCTGAAGTCTATAGACAAGAAAGAAATACCAGGAATACATTATTTTCATTAAACCAACAGTCCAAATAACAAGTCATTGGCACAATCTGAATCAAAACTAGGAAACTTAATAGCAGGAAATCTCCACTGCACTTGACAAGTTACATCAGCTATAAACACAGGAAAGGAGAAGAGAAAAAAAAACAACCTCAACACCCCTCCCAACCCAAACCTAAAATCTCCAACCATATCACTACCAATCTAATAATTCATCGTCACCACCAATGCTAACTTGGATAAGTTACTTATCAGCAAAAGAACTCTCCAATAATTCTAACGTTCCCCCCAATAAGTTGCTCTGCAAATGCAATTACCATTATCTGATTCTCCAACAGGGAGCTTTATACCACTGTATCTTTATAGCAAATGTTTTGAGATGAATATAAGTTTTAATTCTGTGCTACTGTGCTATTCTGAAACCTTCATTAGCTGATTTAAAATAAATTTCTTCTGCAATTGCCAACACGTTGCATACTTTTAAGAAAGTAAGCCAGCCCTGAATATACCTTCCAATGACTGGCAAATACTTTCTGAGTTAAACTAAGGGCCAAGCTGACACTCTTAATTGGAAAGTTCCAAAGTTATCCATAGCACGTGAATTAGTTAAACCATGTCCATTGAAGGCAGGGGGGAAGGAACCGAAACAAACAGCTGAGCAATGTGTCACACCACTCTCTTGCCTTCAAATTTCACTTTGAAATCCAATGTTTGCCAAAAAAAAATTTAAAAAAAATCATCCACATGCAAACTGACATACTTACTTTGAACGTCCACCTGAATTTGGGCGGTGTTTATTATTCACTCCATGTTCCGAACAGCTCCCATTTAAACTGGAAGCAACTCTATATCCTGCAGTATCTCTCCTGTGAGATTTTTCTTGACTTGTCAGAGCAGATATTTCCAAACGTTCCTGTAAATCAGGAAAAACACCAAGTACGTACAGAAACTACTCCTATCCGCAAAATATGCGAGTACTTGTCTATTATCCTATAAAGTCAGCCAGATCACAGGAAAAAAAAAAAAAAATTGGAAGAAGGAAGAAATGCTGAGATTCAGAAAGTATATTTAAGCACTGTCCAGAGGCTATAAAGATTCTCTACAATGAAACTGGAAACATTAACATACTAGCTTTTTTTCCTATGTATGTTTGAAAATACATCTCAGTACACTTCAGATGCTATTACATTATTATATAAATTATATAAATAATTATATAAAATTATTCAAGAAATAACCCCCTTATAATCAAGAACTTATTTTAACCTAGATCTATTAGAAGCACTGGATGAGAAAAGATGTCTATGACAATTCAGTCACATAAATCTCTCAAATTTTTTCTAAGCATATACTACAGTACTGGGAAGAAGTTATTGCAATGGTTTTTGCATGCCTGCTCAGAAAGAATACCTGTTTGGCAATCTCTTTCTTTTTTCTTTCTTCTCTTTTCTCTTCCTCCCTTTTCTGGATCTCTTTAAGGATTTCACGTTGCTGAAATGAATTTCGCTGTTGTTAGAGGTGCAACAGTACATGCAACGCAACTGCTAATCTTACCCTGGTTAAAAAAAAAAAAGCTATAATGCTGATTTTTTTGGAAGCCTTAAAGAAGACTCATGGATCCCACAAGAATAAAAAAAATAGAAATCGAATTAGCTCTCCTGAGGAAGTTAACAGCATCAATTGTATGATATAGGAGAATGGAGTTGTAGACAAAAGAAAATTACTTCTACTGACAGGCCTAACAATAAAGTTTCATACATAGAAAAGATAAAGGAATAAGCTAAAACTTTTTTTTAAAAAAAGAGCTAGTCTATCTATGTTCCAACAGTGTGGAGACTCCATGCTACTAGTCTCTGTGAGACTTAGATGTATCCCTTCATTTCTAGTGAGGAATGTTTATGGGTCCAAGGTTTCTTTAAATTAAATTTATTGTGCACTAGAGAAGTCTGTCATAGTGAACATTCCAGTCACCCTATGGGTGAAGGAAGGTATGATTACCTATCTGTCTGGCTAATTCTTCCTAGTTTAAGATCAACCGCACTTAATATATACACTTGCTTACACGTTAGCGTAAGGTCCTTTTTATAAGTAATTTTCATAGGATCAGAGATCAACATTGAGGTTTCTTTCAGGCATAAATATTTCTCAGGATTAAAAATACATCATTAAAATATTACGATTGCAGCAGCAGATAGTTCATATATTACATATTGATCAACTCATACCAACAGCTCTGACAAGTTAATAACTCACTAAAACCCAATGCTATGCAGGATGATTTACAAAATCATGATTGTTTACGTTACTTTAAGAATACAGGGTTATTCACACTCTAATTTCTCTTACCTCCTGCTCCTCTCTTCTCTTAACTTCTTGTGCCCTACGCAATTCCTCCTGAGCCAGTCTTTCCTGTTCTTTTTGATGATTTTTTAGCATTTCTTCATGAAAAGACTTGGAAGGTGGTTTATTATGCTCACTGAGAAATGACTGTACGTGGTCTGCAAGTTCAAATATCATCACCTGAAAGAAAATAGATATGAATGACACACAGAGTTCAAAGAACAAGTAATCACAGAGTAAAATGACACTCAACTCAAAAAAGCAATACAGTAGCAGCATGACTGCTGATTTTGTTACTTATCAAGGAGAACTTCCCATATTTCAGTATTTTTGTCAGAACTACTTATTAGTAAACTCTAACATGAAAAATCCCTGACCATAGTAGCAAAGATAGTGAAAATTACTGAAAGACAGCCAACTCCAAACATCTCCCTTTTTCAAAATAAGTAAATAAATAATTTTTTTTTAAATCCCTTTTCTCATCTTTTAGGCACATTTTTCTGTTCATAAAGATGTGTATTTGTGACTTATGAACTACAACAGAATAAACGCTTTGCAATTGTCTATTACTGTATCTACTGCTATTAAGTAGTTACTTATTTCACTGTTAATACAGCATCTAATCCTTCCTCTGCAAACTAGCCCCCCCAGCTAGAAATGTAAAACCACTTACACTGCACATTCATATAACCACAATGACTAAAACAAGAACTGCACTGAAAACTCTGCTGAATTCTGCTACATGGTTTGCAAGGTTGTAATTTGTTTTCAGCTACTGCTTACTTGACCTACATATGTACTGATGATCCTGTCAGGGCTTACGCTTTCATCAGTCTAGTAGCATCCCTCTATTAATTCAAGCAATCCACAGGACTAGTAGTCAGCAGCAGCACTGACTGATCTGGATTTGCATGTATAAGTCAGAGAACAGTCATACCAAATTGTACCATCTGCCTGTAGAAGGCTGACATTTAGAAGATTCTCAAACACTGAATACCCTGCTTGAAAGTTAGAAGGAAGCCAAGAGGCAATTTGGAATAGAAAGAATAGCACAATATGCATACACCTGATGTGCAAATGAAAACATCTTTCCCAGGTTACTACTCAGCATGCAAGGCAATCATGCATACACATATGTATTAAAAAAAAAAAAAGAAGAAATCTCAACAATTAAAAAACAATCTGCTGTTCAGTTTGACAGGTAGCTGAGGCATCTTCAAATTTTCCATACTGCAAAATACACTTTAAAAAAAGAATACCTGTCAAGGCAGAGAGAACTGTTATCTCCCTTTCCCTGCACAGAAAGTAATTCAGGACTGCATTGTGTCTGTCATTCATCAAAAATGTGTACCATACATGTAACTCACAACTGTATCTACACCTCCCTGGAGCAAGCATGATTCTCCCTTTAAAAAATTAACATTAGGAAAACCTGTAACATGTCTGTAGCGCCTTTCAATAAGATCAAGAATCAAACTGGGATTTAAAGTTCTACAGGCACTTCTGGGGTCAGTTGTGAGCAGACTGAGTATGAATCTCATGGTTTAGAGGTTATTTAGAGAACTTGTACCTTGTATTTCCTATCAAAAGAAAAAATATATACTGTTAAACTGCTAATTTCCAAAGATACTGAAAAAAATGAGGGAATTCTTGGTTACTGAACAGAATGAACAAAACAGTATCTGGCTAAAACAGTGCTTCTGAAAGTCTCTGCATAAAAATTGGCAACCAAAATAGTAGTATACAAATGGAAAAAAGGCTCTATGTGGCAAGACTGAAAGACAGGCAACTCCTGCCAAACCTGTAAAGTTGACAGGGTCAGGAAATTGAAAGCAAAGTATTACCCCATTTCAGCGTAACAACAATTTCATAACAACTTCCCCAGCTGTGTATTTCTCACTTCTAAAAAGGCAAATTGAGCAAATCAAATGTGTTCACCTGTAACATTTCCAAATAGTGATAAGAAACCATAAACCCTGCTTTTACCAAGAATTCAATGTTTGCTAGTACTTCTTTGAATCATTTCAGTTCCCAGCAACAATGAAAAGGTATTGTCAATATCAAACATACATGGGGACCTATAAATTCCCTTAAAACAAATACAACTTCTAAGCTCCACACATTTCTCCATCTTTCTCTTTTTCTCCTATTAGGAGGCTGGGGGGAAGTCAAGTATCACTATTCCTAAACACAGTAGAAAAAAAAAAAGGCATAATGGCATGGAGTCACTGTGCTACAGGCACAGAAGTCAACCGTTAAACGGGTGTTATAACTAATGTCTCTTGCCCTTCAGTTCAGCGTTAGATGAACAAGATCTCACTGAAGAACTCCCCATGTAATCGTTGTTTGCTTAAACAGGTACAGCCACTTACAACATTCAAACTAATCTGAAAAGTGCAGCAAGCTCTCAATTTTAGAGTTAGTATTGCCTTTCATACTGAGAAATAACTCAGAGAATGACATGAACCTTTAAATCTGCCTTTAAACAGGGCTGAAGCTCACACAATTTGTACATACACTGTATTTTAAAGGCACGCAATTCATTAGTTAGAAACATTCTTAAGAAAGCCTATCCTTCCTTAGGAGCAATGCAACTTATACTTCCAATGTAGATGTATTCCATTACATTATATCACATCACACATGTTTTTAGAACTATTTAGGTCCAGAGTATATTTCTCAATGAAGTGAAAAGTTCTTACCTCTCCACAGCACTGTTTTGCTAGTTGAGCTAGTCTGGATTTTAATTCATTTATTTTCTCATTTGACAAGCCCTTTGAATTTTTTAGTTGTATTTCAGGGACACTGTGGGACAGCAACAAAACATTAAAAAGTCCACATTAGAAAAATTGAGTGTAAAAAGCAACAGAATGCTGATAAAAACAGTGGGTAAGGGAAAAGGAATGGAGTTCATAGTCACGTGGCAATTAGTCAATGCTCAAATAAGCAGTACATAAATACTACATATATAATATAAAATAAAGCCAGAAGTACTGTTTCGCATTCCCTATCATCAATTTTTCTGGCTACAGATTACCTGTCAGTTATACTTAACAGAAGAACTACCAAAGAAACCCTGCAGACTTTTATAATTCATCTCTTTACCAGTAATTTACATAACAGCCCTTTAAAAATATTACTAGCTTAACATTTAGGTGTTTAAAGTTTATTTATCACCACTATACAGGTTACACAAACCTAAAGAAACATGTGCAATTAATAAGTAACAGCTAAATAAAAAAAAAAAACCAAACTAACCAAGTAAGATGTCTGTAGCTATGCTATCTTAAATGAAAACAAAAAAAATAGACTGGCTGTTATGTCTTAGGGCGTAACTGAGCTATCACTTCGTAAGGAATAGCACCTCCCTTGCACACTGCTCAAGCCACAGCACAAATGGATGGGCTAAATAGAGTTGGCTGTGCACACAACCAGTGGCCAAAGGGCTGAAAGAAATGGGGCACAGAGCAACACTTGACTCAGAAATTACTTGCCAACCCGAAATGCGGGGGGACACTGGTTGCCTGCCATTCTTTTTACATCCTTTATGGAGAACTCTTCCAAAAGGATAATCCAGCAGACAACAGGAACAGCAGATAGAACTAAGACAGCAGATTGCTTTAAAAATTAAGATTCAGTCCCTCTCTCAGCATGTCATGAGCTGAAAAAGATTAAAAAAGGGCACTAAGATGCTAGCAGGTATGGTAGCAGGTACACCTGTGTTTCCATCTCTTCAAGCTTCAAACTGGGGCTGTAGCTTTGCACTGACAAATGCATCCCTATTACTCTCCATTGCACAAGAGACGGCTTCCAATTCAAGTGACAAATTTTATAGTCACCTATTATAAAATACCACCGGCTTAACAAATACAGACATGCAGAAAGCAACAATAAGAGTGATGGATAAAACTACATGTTTTTTCAACTTATACTGTATTACTATGGAAAACAGAGAAAAGTGTTCAGGGAAAAAAGGTTGTATTTTAATGTTCACTCACGTATCAGGGTAAGTATGTGGACACTTGACCCACAGATCAACTTTGGCATATACTTCATTATCACCAGTCAATCCCTGAGGACGCAGAACTAAATTAATCTCAGGAGGTTGTCGTACCTAAAATGGAAAATAAAACTTTTGATTTAGAAGGGTTTTTCGGTTTTGTTTTAATGAAAGCACAAAACTATCACAACCTATATTATGGCAGAATTTAGGTTAGACCATCCAAACCATGAAAAAAACATATTAATGTATTGATGTTGATCATTGACAGAGAACTGGTTCACTGATTATCTCAGTTTACCCAGTATATTTTTAGAACTTCTTCAGGTAAGTGTAGCTACAGTTATTAGAAATATGATTCACACTGAGAAAAAGGGAGGTTTCTTAATAAGCCCCTTGTATTCTGCTTACTGTAGGCTAATAGTAGGAAAAAGTTAAATAAATGTAATACAGGTTATTTATGGAATATCACAAATTAGAACATTCATTATATGAACAATATTAGATCTAATCTAATGTTAGATCATTAACAAACACCAATCAATATTTTTTTTTCTGACATGGCAACAGACTATAACATCACATCTATATACACCTTGTGTGGCCCAACAAATGGATAGTAATTTTTTTGTATTTAGATTTTTGGCATAAAACATAATCTTAGCTAGGATTGCTCTTCCTGCCATCCTGTTCAAATTGCCTACTCAAAATCAGAATAAAGTAAAACATGCCCATACGAATGTTATAAACTTTTTCTTTTCAATTAGGAAATTATTTTTTTGGGGAAAAAAACCAAAACAAACACACCAGACCTTAGTAACATGACAAACAGGTAGGGAAATAAGACCACATAGAATAACAAATACGGAAACAGGTTAAAAGATGGTTACCATCCCCTCTGTTTTCCCTTTGCATTTCCAACAAGAAAAAGAACAGGTTAAGTGAAGAGGATGTGAGGAATTAATTTAATAGGGAATGAGGTCTGCAGCACTTCTGAAAAACCTAGCAAATTACTAACAGTGTTTGCATCAAAATCTATTACAAAAAACCACAAACCCACAAAGTAATAGGTTCCTGCAAGAATTTTATGTTCAGCTTCATGGCAGAAAGGGACTATGATATTTTATAGAAACGAAAGACACAAGAATATAGATGACAGTAACAGTGAACTTGGGGAACTGAAAAGAGTGGCCAGTACCTCCAGGTACAGTAAAATAGTGCCACAGATGCAGCTGGGGAAAAAAAAAATTAGACATTGTGGACACGAAAGAGAAATGGAAAGGAGTACTGAGTACTAGACCTGAGCATTAATTAGTTGTAATTGAAAAAACCCCAACTATAAAAACTAAAGTTAAAGTATTAAGTTCTCATGGAAACAGCCAGTTTGAGTAAAGATCAGCAACACGTATGCCGATAAGATGAATTAATTAAGCAGGTATGTAATTAGTTGGTTAAGGCATAAACAAAGAAATAATAAAAAACAACTGACAATTAATTAAATGCGAGTTACATGCACACCATTAATTACAGCGCGAAGCCATGGCGCTAGAGTTTAATTGCCAAAGGCAGCCGGTTACAGGGCTGCCTACCGAAGCGGGGGAGGACAACGGGCGAACGGCAAGAGCCGAGGTGCGCCAGGCAAGAAATGGACTCGGACTAGCTAGGACTTGGGCTAACTAGGACCTGGCACTAACCGCGTCCCCACGCGAGCGCCACCACCCAGACCCCCAAAACGACGGGCCCGCTCTGCCTCC